ATTGATCTCGTACCATGAGCTTGATCTGTGACTGTTCTCCATAAAAAACCCATAACAAGTAAGCATTAAGTCAACAGACATTGGAAAGAACTCCAGTAACTTCACCACCCCACACTTCCCCTATGAACAACTTGTAGCTCTGTGTGCTCATTTGACACAGGAAGTGGTCACCATGTTTACCTGGCTCTGCTGTGCATAAGTTCTTGGGTTAATAACAATTGATGCCATAACCATAATTGTATATGAATATAATGATTTACTTGCAAGTAAGTTCACAAAAGCCTGTCCCATGTGGTGGATGATGTATATAATGTAATACACCCATTTTTTAGTCTGGGGAAATAGCCTGGGAAGAGTGATACCAGAGTGAGTGCCGGACAGTGGTGTCCTGGTAAAAGTCTTACAACCAGTTCTCCAAGGGTAGAAGTCCTACTTGTAGTGGATGCTGACTTCGATGTTATAAATATAGTACTCCTCATTTTCTAAGGTTTTGCTTTCCATGGTTTCAGTTATCTGAGTCAATTATAGTACAAAAATACTAAATGGACAATTCCAGAAATAAACAATTCATACATGTTAAGTCACATGCCATTCTGTACCTTGTGATGAAATCTTGTGCTGTCCTGCCCAGGACATGAATTAGTCCCTTATCCAGAGTATCTACTCTGGATATGCTACCCACTCATTAGTCTTAGGAGCCTTTGGATAGCCCATTAGTCATCCCTTTTGTCTGAGTCCATCTTCTGTTGCTATGACAGAATACCTGAGAAGAAGTAATTTATAAAGGGAAGTTTATTTCAGCTCACAGTTCTGGAGGTTGGCAGTCCAAGATGAGGCAGCCATATTTGGCATGGGCCTCCTGTGACATTATAACACAGTGTAAAAGTGGAAAGGCAAGTGGTAGTGCATGGAAGAGGGAAAGCATGAGGGCAAACTCACATTAAAACAACCTTATTTTACTAGAAGGAATCCACTCCCACAAGAAAGGCATGAATCCTTCTTAATGTTTTAATCACCTGTTAAAGGCCCACCTCCCAACACAGCCACAGTGGCAATCAAATTTCAACATGAGTTTCAGAGGGAACAAACATTCATATCCCAGCATCTTTCACACTGGCTGCTTTACCTGTGAAGTGGGGTCTTGCTCTGTGATTAAAGAAACAGCATTTTGCAGAGGAAGGAACCCTGACTTTAGATTCAGTGCCCTGTAATCTCATCCTGCCGCACAAGTCACTGTCACAGGACCTCTGGCAAATGACTTTACCTTCACACTCTTGCCTGAAAAGCAGAGGTGTTGGTTGACTTCATAGGTTAATTAGGAAGAGTAACCAAGGGGGTATCACATCACAAACTCCAGCCCGTGGTAACTCGTCCACAGTGGTTATCGTCTGGTTTGTGGCATTACGGGGGGTTTCACTTTTCTTCTTCACTTTTGCCCATCTGCATTTCGTGTTGCACTGGTAAATATTTAACCACCAGCTCTCCAAAGAAAAGACCTGGTTGTAGTGTTTGCCCATTTCCATGGTGCAAATACTCCCACCATGGCTGACTTCAAGCCACCACCATGACAACCCTGAATGTGGAGTTGGGAAGGGGGATACGCAAGTGGCCCCCCAGGCTGGTGGAAGCCCACGTCAGCACGCAGCTGTGCACTCAACATTTTACTTAGGGGACAAATTAAGGAAGAGAGAGAAAATATTGAGTGCCCGCATTGTGTCTGGTCTATTCATCCCCAGCCCTTATTAATCTAATCAAACAGCGTGCTGACCTTGAACGACCAGCCATGTGAAGTGGAGGACTTCTGGGAGCCAATAGCTCTTAACCTTGCTCCCCATCTGCCGGGCTCCCAGACCTTGGGCGGCCTGTAGAGGAGATTCTAAGATCAGTTTCCCCAGCAAGAATCAAACAGACAAGTGCAAGGTTGAAAAAACTGCCTTAGAGATAAACCATGAAAAGTCCCAGCAAGCAAAGGGCTTGAGGGGAACACACGCCCAGGTGGATACATCTCTGACTAGCCTAACCTTGACCTAGAACTCCCTTTCTGTCAATTTCTGTGTGTGCATGTGAGGAGATGGGGGTAGGGTCTGCAGATCACTGGAAGAATACAAAAGAATGGGACATTAGACGGCTCCTGACAAGCCCCCAGTGGATCATCAGGCATGTACAACAAAGGTGCAGAGACAGAATCCATACCTCACAGCATCCGGTCTCAGCCTCCTGGCACCTGGTTCAGACTCTGGCCCAGACTCTAGGTGCTCAAGCTAGGGGTATAGCTCAATAGTAGAGCACTTGCCTAGCGTGCACGAGGCCCTGGGTTTATCCCCACCACTGGGGGAAAAAAAAATGATGCTTAAAAAATTTGTGATAATGCGGGCTGGGGTTGTAGCTCAGTGGTAGAGTGCTTGCCTAGCACGCATGAGGCACTGGGTTTGATCCTCAGCACCACATAAAAATAAATAAATAAAATAAAGGTATTGTGTCCATCTGCAACTAAAAAAAATTGAAAACAAAAGAAATTTGTGATAATGCTTGGTTCGGGTGGATTCTTTAAATTTTTAATTAATGAATTTTATTCCTTCATAGCTTACCTCTTGCAGAAGGGATACAAGACAGCTCAATAAATTCCTATTGAACAAATAAGTAAGTTTTAGCCCTAGCCAGTTCCTGGTTTTGCATGTTCCTGAGTAGAAAATGTGACTTTAAATCTAAATGAGATGCAAAGCATTAATACAGGTTGCCAGTCATTTTTAAAAAAGTCTTCTGGCTTTTCTGTATTTTTCAAATGTATCCTCAAAGAGCATGGATTGTTTTTGTTATTTAAAAAATGAATCTATTTTATAAAAATAACCTGCAAAGAAAAGTGAAGCAAGAGTGTTATCAGCAGTTAAAGCTCCAGGGGGGACGTGTTCCTGCTGTGAGGCTCTAAACCGAGGGTCCTGTCTCCCTGGGGCTCCCATAGCTCTGGCCTGCATCTGGTGGGCCCAGTGCCCACATCCTCACTATTGTCGCAGCTCCAGACTCTCTCAGCTTCTCTTCCCAGGGGTCTCCCACCTCCCAGGTGATAATAATGTTCCCCTGCATAACGCCCAGGCAGATGATGTAAACACAGGTACAAGTGGAGACAGATAAGCCCCCAAGAGGAGTGAATAACAGACCACACCCACCCAGAGGGACCTGTAACTTAGAAATTTGTTTGAGCCTGTATCCCTCCTCCTCCCCCTCCATCTGCTCCCCACACCAGAAGAGGTCACTGGTAGAGGAGGTCACTGATAGGGGAATCCCCAGCCAGGCCCGCCAGACCCACCCTCCCATTTGCTGGCCTCCTCTCAGAGAACTGGTCTCTGCTCCTCGCTGTGTGATAAGTGTACCCATTCCATTTCCCCCAAAGCATCAGGGCTGCCCTGATAAGGGAATGCAGAGCCGTGGATCCTCCATTAAAGCATTTGTGGGGTTGTCAATGAGCCTTCCCACTTCTTGAGACCTTGACTCTTTCTTCTGGCCTAGGATCACAGTCTGGGAACCTGTGTTCGGGTTTTCATTAAAGACATAGGTGGAGACTTCCACTCTCAACCTGAGGAAGTTCAGGGGATTTGTGACAGAGACACCTTTGTGCATACAATGTCATGAATTCTTCCATTAACTCTGTGAGGTTGTGGCTACCCTGTTCTTAGAGCCTAAGTGGCTCGCTTGAAAGCAGACAGAGGTATGCTCCAGGGCCCTGTGGCCACACAGCAGTGCCCAAGGAGACGTGACTATGGTTCCTCAGACAAAACTGACTTTTGTGTGTGTGTGACAGCTTTTTTTTTAAGATATAATTTGTATATCACACAGTTTGCACATTTGAAATATACACTTCAGTTTTTTAGTGTATTCATGGAGTTGTGCAAACACTACTGTCAATCTTAGAACATTTCATCACTCCACCAAAGAGATCCAAGCCTCCCTGTCCATTGCAGCTTAACTGCTTTTTATTTGTGCAGATTTGCCTATTCTGAACATTTCATATAAATGGAGGCATACAGTATATGGCTTTGAGTGTGGCTCCTTTCTCTTAGCATAACGTTTTCAGGGTTCATCCACGTTGTAGCACTTGTCGGTACTTCATTGCTTTTTATGGATGTGTAGTAGTATTCTCTTACATATATGATGCATTTTGTTCATCCATTATCAGTTGGTAGCCAACAATCAGTTGGATTATTTCCACTTATTGGATATCCTGAATAATAGCCGATGAACTTTCATGTGGATGTACGCATTCATGTCTCATTGGTATGTCCCACATATCTTTGCTTAAAATCCCTCAGTGATTTCCCATTGTTCCTAAAATCAGGTTCAAATTCCTTACCTTGGTCTATGATGTTTCTCCTTCTGCTATCAGAGGCTCCAGGAGAGCAGTTCTCCCTGGCACCTAGCACGATGCCTGGCACCCAGAGGCACTCATTAAATATTTACTGAATGAATAATGGATAATGATGGCAACAAATGAGTCACTTGTTCGCAGGATCCCTTTAGCCTTGGTGTCTCCCACAGGTGATGGGGAAAATCAGGTGACTGCTGGGGCCACGTTGACTCCTCTTGCTAGTCGCAGCTGAGTTCTCCCTCTCGCTCACCTAAGGGACCACTGCTGAAATAGGAAAAGGCTTGGGGGAGTCCCCACAGTCCTGAAATAAAGAGCCTCATTGGGTCGCACTACCACCTGGGTTCTGTCTTCCACCGGGATCATCCCCCAGCATGTAATCGGGCAGCCCCTGACACCGCTGACCAGACCAACTGTCATCTCAGCCCGTTTCCAGGGGTGCAAAGAGGCGTTCTTTGAGGCAGTTGCTTCTTTGAGAGTTGGGGAGCTGCACTGTGACAGACTGCATTTCCTTTAGTAAAGATGATTGCCTTTCTGCGTGTGTTGTTTGAAAAACTGTCCTTGAAGAAATTCCAAGAGGAAACTGTATGCCTTCTGAGACTTAATTGCTTTTTCAAAAAACATTGTTTTCATTTCCCCACAGATATGCACTTATTTGGCCATTATCCAGCACATGACGACTTCTATCTCGTAGTGTGCAGTGCCTGTAATCAGGTCGTCAAGCCACAAGTTTTCCAGTCGCACTGCGGTAAGTGGACTCCTGCACCCAGCAGGGGCACAGGCAGCCGCCACTCCGGGCACAGTCGCCTTCCACAGGGCCCCCCAGTGTCTGTCTTTGCCCAAGGCTGTGGGTAGACTCTTCCTGGGGCTGCTGCCTCTGCTCAAAGGGTAACTGTTTTAGGATCTGTAGTCCTCCTGCTGAAATGCTCGGTCCTGTGGGAGGAAAAATGAGAGAAAACCTGCAACTTGTCATGGTAGATGAGGCTAGACTGAAACCATCCGCCCAACCTGCTGACCTCTGCAGGTAACCAAGGGGAGGGGAGAGCAGTGGCTTGAGGACACGTTCCTGCAGCCTGACATTTTCTCCTCTTGAAATAGGGGACTGGAGAGCGGTTTCCCAGACTCACATAAGGGGGCTGGAACCAAAGGTAGCCCAGTGCATGGGCCATTGGATGCTGACCCCAGGAAATGGCATATAAAACCTCAAGTTCCACTTATCCGTTTCCAAGAATCCCCCTTTTTCTTTGAAAAAAAAAAAATAGAAAAAAAAAAAAAGAAAAAAATCCAGCTGTGTCTGGGAACTCGCTTTCCCTCCGTATCTTAATGTCCTTGGTGTGATAAGTTCCTTCAGTCGATCAGCAGCACACCCCCACCCCTACTCCACTCAGCGCAGGTGCCGTGGACAACGACAGAGCGCACACGGCCACTCCCTCAGGCATGAATGAACGGCCAGCTTGTCTTAGACAAGAAGCCTTTGAATCTCACTGGGTGGAAGTTTCCTGTCTTGAACAGGGAGCTGGCCCAGATGATGGCCAAAACCATCATAGACAGTGAGTCCAGAGCAGTATTTCCCATATGTTTTATGAATTCCTGAGCCCCTTTTGATGAATGTAAATTCTGCTTTATTGTTAAAGTTTTGAAGCACATCCAATATTGTACTTTAAAAAAAAGCAATTATAATATTGAATGAGCTTTTGCAAATGACATATTTCCCCTTTCTCACACTGGGGATTTCTGATTTTCCCCCTGTCCCTTTATTTATCACCATGCTGTAATAAATAGGCAAGGATAAAAGAATTGAATGTGTTTGGGACTATAGAATAGTGTATGTATATACTAATATCATCTATGAACACGTGTATATGATCCATATATATCTACGTATATACAAGGCCTCTGTGTATATATTGTAGGTGTATTTTGTGCTTGTAACATGCAGAAAGAGAACCCAGCTCAAGGGGCAAGACTGACAGGACAAAGCAGAGACAGAGCCCTAGAAAATGCTGTGTAAAGAGCTCCGGTGAGAGGCAGAGTCCAACTCTGTCCTTGGGTTACTTGGTTAACGTCTCCTGACTTTGGTTTCCTTGTCTCTTCCATGAGGAGGTAACTCCTGTGGACGTACCCATCTCCAACATTTTCATTCCTGGCAGTGTGAGTGTGAAAAGAGCAGGCATGTTCTGGGCATGAGTTGACCTTTTTGCTCAGTGTTCTGTGGCAAATGGCCCTGTCTTCCTCCTGGAAGAGAGACAGGGTCAAACATTTCCGAAGGGGAACCGTCAGAGGCCCGTTGGTGGTGCCTCCAGCTGAAGTGACAGGTGGGGTATCAAAAGCAGAGCAGTGATAAGAAGTTCCCACCAGTGCTCCGTGAATGAGCTGGGAGCTCCATGCTCCACTGCCTCTTTGCACCTCATAACGATGCAGCCGGGAGCTCATCCTGAACGTGGTCACCGTGCACTCATCCCTTCACAGGACTGTGCCACCACTCTAGGCACTGGGGTACAGCAGTGAACAAAACAAGTGAAAATCCTGGCCCTGGGGAGCTTGCGCTGTACTGTAAGCCTTCAAACCTTCACTGGGAACTTAGTTTGCCAGCCGTCTTTGATAGAAGTACCTTAAAAGGGACCTGCATCCCCCTGCCCTGCAGAATCTGCCTAAGGGCAAAACCCCCATCTGGCTAGCAGAGGAGCTCTAGGACTTTGGTGTGGCTGATACACATGCCTCCCTCTGCCTTGGGGCTTTTGGTGCAAGAACCAAGACTCAGCTTATGGGAAAGCAAATGGCATTGTGGCGCCCTGCTCTGAGCAGTGGCAGAAAATTAGTCTGGGGCTTTGGGGTTACTGACTTCATCACTCGAAGCCCGGTCTCCATTGAGTTTCTTGCTGAGCCAACTGACAGGCAGCAGTGGGGACATAACCACAGCTCAGCAAATTGAGGCACTGAAACCTCTCTCCTCTTCCAGGTGTGTGTACCAATAATCCAAGACCCATATTTATCAGGACTGGGAGAGAATGCAAGGCAGAGCTCAGAACCATGGCAACTCTTCTGGGGAGTATTTTTTAGTTCGTCTAAGAATTTCTCCTATAATTTCATGATTAGTTGAGGCTGCTCTAAAAGAATGCCAGAGGTGGATGCTCATAAACAACAGAAATTCGTTGCTTGCAGTTGTGGAGGCTGGACATCTGAGGTCAGGGTGCCAGCATGACAGGATTCTGGTGAGGGCCATTGTCTGAGTTGCAGATGTCCACCTGCTTACGGTATCCTCATGTAGCAGAAAGAGGACGAGAGAGCTCCCTGGGGCCCCTGTCTTACAGGCAGTAACCCCATTCATTATGTAATTGCCTCCCAAGTCCACCCCTGTCACATTGGGGGTTAGAGTTTCAGCGTATGGATTTGGGAGGACACAGACATTCAGTCCCTACCAGTCTGTCTTTTTCTGCTGTTTCACCTTGTGTAATGACCCTTGCTCTCTTCAGCAAGTTAATAAGAATTCTACTGTGTCCAGGGCCGGGCACTGTGCCAAGTGCTTTCCATATCTTTGAGCATGTAACAGCCCTGTGAAGGAGGTATGAATTGGTATCCATTGAAGTTGAGGAAGCTATGGCTTAGGAGATTTCAGTGTCTTGCCCCCGGGGCCTCAAAGCCGGGCAGGTGCTGAGCCTGATTTCACACGCAGCTTCATAACAGTGAGGGAAGTGCCTGCTGCGTCGTCATCTCACCACCTCTCTCTATACACAAATATTGAAAGCAGAGCTCTTGAAGTGAAACTGGGGCGGGGCTCAAGCCCCACCCACCTGGCCTTCCTCCAACTCCCCTGCAGTCCCACTACCAGGGCTCCATAGAGCATCACTTGACGTTTGTTGGCAGGTTTGGGAGTCAGACAAAGGCTCACAGGACTTCCCTACTCTGTGACCTTAGAAGGGTCAGCTCATCTTCTCCATCTCGGTTTGCTCATCTGTATAATGGGTTAGTCAGCCTGCCTGGCAGGGTTGTCCGGACATGACTGGTGCGAGGCCTGGAGTTCACTTCCTCCCCTCTCTTCATGGCATCTGCTCACACTGCCCCCAGCGGGGATGGGACTCCTCTCTCTGGATATCCGTAGAACTCTATTCTCTTGTGCTACTTGGCACCTTCTGCCACGCAGTTGTCTGTGGACTGTCTCTGCTTTCAGCACCAGGAGATTCCTTTTCAATTCTGTACTCCCAGCACCCGGAAAATGAGTTCATCACAGGGGCATGGCAGCATTCAAGACCTTGGTATACTAGCCTTTCAAGCTAAATGGAGGGGTGTGTTGTGTGTGTGTGTAGGCAGTCAGTTGTGGAGTTAAAGAAAAAATGTTTCTTACTCAACACTTCTTTTTTTTTTTAAATTTATTTTTCAGTTGTAGTTGGACACAATACCTTTATTCATTTATTTTATGTGGTGCTGAGGATCGAACCCAGGGTCTTGCGCGTGCGAGGCGAGCGCTCTACCGCTGAGCCACAACCCCAACACTTCTGACACCAAATATATGGGCTTTGCATGCCAAGCCATTTTCTGTGGACACCAACTGGGTGTCCTATAATTTAATTTGATTCTGACAGTAGCTACTCAGAGTTAGTACAGATGCCACAGGTTAAAGGCTCAGCCCTACAAAACAGCCTCCTGCTGCAGATGCCAGTCACAATCAGTGAGTCTCAGATTACCCACACTGATGTCTAAGTTGACCATAGCTGGGGATTCCCACAAACCCCTCGTCAGGTTTGATAATTTTCTGCAATGACTCACAGAACTCAGGGAAACATTTTCCTTTCATTTACTGGTTTATTATAAAGGATGCAAATGAACAGCCAGAGACACATAAGGCAAGGTCTAAAAGGGTCCCCATAGAATTGTGGTGCTACCCGAATAACATGTGGATGCCTTCACCGACCTGGAAATCTCTCTGAACTCTTGTTGTTGAGGGGCTTTTTGGAAGTTCCATTACACAGCCATAATTGATTAAAACACTGGCCATTGGTGATAAACTCAATCTTCAGCCTCACCTTAAAACTCTCTGCGGGGGGGCTGGGGTTGTGGCTCTGTGGTAGAGCGCTTGCCTAGCATGTGTGAGGCATTGGGTTGGATCCACAGCTCCATATAAAAATAAATAAATGAAATAAAGGTGTTGTGTCCATCTATAACTAAAAAAGATATTAAAAAAAAAAAAAACCTTGGGCTGGAGTTGTGGCTCAGTGGTGGAGCACTTGCCTTAAATGTGTGAGACACTGGGTTTGATTCTCAGCACCACATATAAATAAAAAATAAAGGTCCATCAACAACTAAAATGAATAAAATAAATAAAAAAATTTTAAAAACCCTCTTTGGGGACCTAACTATCAGTCTTCTCACTATCTACAGAAACTCCACAGATTGCAAAGGTCCTCAAAGCTCAGTGTCCAGAAACTGGGAACCAAAACCAGATACAAAAACAAATGTGCCCTTCATGCCAGCACTCAAGAAATTACAAGGGTTTAGCTGCTCTGTGTCAGCAACTGGGGACAAAGACCAAATATATATTTCTTCTTATATCACAAGTCACCGTAGCAATGTGAAAAATAGGATACCATCATGGAGAAATCATGAATTTTGGCGTCAAATGGATCCACGTTAGGATCCTGACTGACATTTTCTAGTGGTGTAACCTTGGGCTGATGAGGTGACCTTTCTGAGCCTCCTCTTCCTCATCTATAAAATGAGAAGGCCAGTGCCTGCCTTGTGGAGTTATTCTGA